GAATGACATAGAAAGAAACCTAGGTTTAGAGTCAGAAAACCTAGGGGCGCCACTTATTAGCTGTGTGATCTCAGGAAAGCTAGCATACCTCTCTGAACCTCAATTTTTCTAACTGGAAATGCGAATAATGGTACCGGCACTACCTACCTTATAGGGTTGTTATGAGGAAAAGTACTTTATGAACCATAGCTTGCTATCAAATTTAAGCTATTTACTATTATGATTGAGCTAAGGCCTTGGCTCTTCAGGCCTCCTCTTAAAAAAAAAATGCAGGTACCCCTGGTAGGGATCACAGATCTGGAGCTAGAAGGAATCTTTGAGGTCATCTGATCCAAACCCATTTTTTTTTTTTTTTGGTGAGGCAGTTGAGGTTAAGTGACTTGCCCAAGGTCACACAGCTAGTAAGTGTCATGTGTCTGAGGGCAGATTTGAACTCAGATCCTCCTAATTCCAAGGCCAGAGCTCTATCCACTGCGCCATCTAGCTTCCCGTATCAAAACCCCTTTTACAGATGAGGAAACCAGGGCCCAGCAAGATTAAGTGATTCTCACAAGGTCACACCAGTAGTAAATGGCAGAGTCAGGATCTGAATCCAGGTCCTCTGACTCCAAATTCTCTGTACTATGCCATTTAAAGTAGTTTCTCATGTAGCCTTTCCTTTGGGGATACCTAAGGGCAGGGCACTGAGAGCATGAGTATTTTGATGACAGAAGCTCCCCTCAGCTCCAGGATCAGGGGCCTTCCCAAATCTTGGCATCCATCCATAATCATAAAATCATAAGAGTTAGAACTAGAAGAGAATGTATAATCTCTTCCGACTTCCCTTATTTTACAGATGGGGAAACTGAGGCCCATAGTCATTTGCCTCTTTTTTCTTTTTTTTTTTTTTGACACCCCCCAGTGCTTAGCACAGTGCCCTTGCTCTTAATAAATGTTTATCATGTTGTATTGTACGGTGATTTAAGTGGTTTGTCTAAGGTCCCATGGTTATTCAGGGGCAGTCTCCAGAGACTCTAGCCCAGGTTCTCCAACTCCCAATTCCATGTTCTTTCCACTAGACCGAGACATGTTCCCCGGCTGTCTGATTGTTGCTTCTCCGATGGCTGCCCGTGACTCTGTGGAGTCCCACAGCAGACTGGCTTCTGCAGGGCTTAAAGGTGGGGAAGGGGTGTTGGGGAACTCCAGGAGAGGCAGTGCCCAGGGCAGGAACGCAGCCTGAGGCCTAAGGGAGGGAGGCTTCCCAAAAGGCCCTTTTTGGACAAACCCCCGCCCCTCTGAGAAGAGAAACTGAGGGGGTCATGTGGTCATTCTTCCCTTGGTGAGTAAGGACAGGTGGGGAGTGGGGACATACTGACCCACACGTTTTTTTTCTTCCACTGGCCTATTTCTAGACTCTGGGCAGAGCAGCCTGCTTGGGCACACATTTGTCATTAAGCGCCACACCTCCCTTTCCTGGCAGCCTTCCAAGCCAGAGCCAGAGCTCTGCATGGGGTGGCAGGACTGGCAGGGCTCTGCGGCTAGTTCAGTCTGGGACTTGGGACAATCCCCTTCCCTGTCCAACCTTAGTCTCTTTATCTGGGGGCGTTCTTGGGTCCTTTCCTAGGTTTTAAGGTTTTCTAACTTCCTTTATTCTAACATTGTGTTTTAAAGGCCTTCCCAGCCCTGACACTGTGTTCTAAGGGCCCTCCCAGCCCTGACATTCTGTGTTCTAAGATTCCCTCTCAGCTCTGACATTCCATATTTTAAGGGCCCTTCCCAGTTCTGACATTCTATGTTCTAAGACTCCCTCCTAACTCTGATATTTGTGTTCTTAGGGCCCTCCCAGTTCTTACAATTTCTGTTCTGACATTCTGTGTTTTAAGGGCCCTCCCAGCTCTGACACTGTGTTCTAGGGCCCTTCCCAGCTCTGACATTCTTGGTTCTAAGAGCCTTCTCAGCCCTGACATTCTGTGTTCTAAGGCCCCCCCCCAGTTCTTACAATTTATTTTCTGTTATGCTGTCTTTTCCAAGAATGTTCCCACCTTTTACATCAGAGTAGGAAGTGTGGTATTAATCAATCAATAAACAAACATTTATTAAGCAGCTGCTATGTAGCAGGCACTGCTACGTACAAATGCAAAAAGATATAAATGCAAAAAAAGCAATAGGCTTGTCCTCAAGGAGCTTCCAGTCTATCTGTGGGAGAAAACATGTACAGATACAAGAAAATACAGACTATATACAATACACATTCAAAGTGTTTGAGGGAGGGCGGGCTTTAGTAGATGTGGGGATCAATAAACACTTCATGTAGGAGATGGTGCTTGAGCTGAGTCTGGAAGAAAACCAGAGATATGGCAAAGCACTGGCTTTGGAGTCAAAGGACCTGCATTCAAATTCCACCTTGAATACTTACTAGCTGTGTGATCTTACACAAGTTATTTAATCTTCTTGGACCTCAGTTTCTTCTTCTATCAAATGAGGGCGTTGGATTTAGGGTTCTCCCAGTTCTTGATCTTTAATCCTATGAACCTTCATTTTCTTTTTTAAAATACATTTTTGTTTATTTTGTTATTTCCGAATCACATGTAAAGAAATTTTTAACATTCATTTTTTAACATTTTGAGTTCTAGATTCTCTCCCTCCCTCCCTCTCTTCCCCTACCCCTTAAGAAGGCAAGCAATATGATACCAATTATACATGTGAAGTCATGCAAAACATATTTCCCCATTAGCTATGTTGAAAAAGAAAACACACACACACAAAAACAAGAAAAATAAAGAAAATTTTAAAAATTATTCTTCAATCTGCACGCAGTTTATCAGTTCTCTCTGTGTCTCTGTCTCTGTCTCTCTGTCTCTGTCTCTCTGTCTCTGTCTCTTTGTCTCTGTCTCTCTCCTTTCTCTCCCCCCCCCCCAGCCTTTGGCCCTCTCTCTGGAAGCAGAGAGCAGTTTTTCATCATGAGTCCTTTGGAACTGGCTCACTGTCTTGATCAGAGTAGCTGCGTCTTTCACAGCTGATCATCATTATACTACTGCTGTTCCTTTGTACAGTTGAACCTTTGTTTTCTGAGAGGTCTCTTCAAGCTCTGACATTTTGTGATCAGACCTCTTCTGAAACACAACCAAGAAGGAGCTTTAAACTTGTCTCCAAACCCCACGGCAGGACTGATGCCACCTGGGTAGAGCTCCCATCTATAAAGGCCAGCTTCTCACTCATCTGCCTTATGAAGATCCCTTTTCTGATCTTTCCAGTCACCATTTCCTTGTCTGACATCCATCCTAGATGTTTGGGCCTTGCGTCTATCAATCTCCGTCCTCATGATTCCCACCTTAGGCACACACAGATGGCTAGAAATGAGGGATCTCCCCACTGTGATCAAACCATAGACGTGGATATCTAGATGCCACCTGCTCCCCTGTGCTTGCCCCTGACTCAGACTTTCAGGGATGTCTGGCGTTTCTCATTTTGCTACTTGTGAGCAAATATCCAAATTTTCTTTCTTTCTTTTTTTTTTTTTGGCTAGGGAATAGAGTTAAGTGACTTGCCCAGGGTCACACAGCTGGTAAGTGTTATGTGTCTGAAGCCAGATTTGAACTCAGGTCCTCTAGAATCCAGGGCCTGTGCTCTATCCATTGCACCACCTAGCTGCCCCCCAAATATCCAAATTTTATAGGGAATCCTAAGATTGTACATCTCGAGCTACCTCTGAGGCCAGCTAGGCCGTTCCTTTCATTTCAGTGATGAGGAAATTGAGGAGGAAGTGAAGTAACCTGTCCAAAGTCAAGGAAGTAGTAATCACACCCATCCTAGATCAGGAGGCAGGAAGATCAGTGTCCTCTTGTGGCCTCAGGTGGAGTGGGAGCCCGAGTGCTTTGGTAAATATTAACCGGATTTCTGGAATAAAGAATATGCTCATGACACACCTTTTAATTTAATTTGCATTATTAACATTTCCTCCATTACTTAATAATTTCAATCAAGCTCTGATTGTAGATTTGCCATTTCCAGCGTGAAAATACTGACATTGAAAATTGAACAATCAGGGGCAGCTAGGTAGAGCAGTGGATAGAGCACCAGCCCTGGATTCAGGAGGACCTGAATTCAAATCCAGCTTCAGACGCATAACACTTACTAGCTGTGTAACCCTAGGCGAGTCACTTAACTCCATTGCCTAATAAAAAAAAAAAAAGAAAATTGAACAATCAACTCAAGCTGGTTCCAGCATAGCCCTGAGTAGAGGGCCTGTGGTCTCCTGTGTGGAGATATTATAGTTTAATATTGCCTGATTTTTTCACAACATGACTATGATGGAAGTGTTTTACATGACTACACATGTATAACCTATATTGAATTTCTTTTCTCCTCAATGGGGGGTGGGGTGGGGAGGGAGGAAGGGAGAGAATTTGGAACTCAAAGTTTTAAAATGGAATGTTAAAAATTATTTTTACATGTAACTGGGGAAAAGTAAAATACTAAATAAAGAAAAAAATAGTGCCGATTTAGCGATCTGTGTGGGTGTCTTAGCCTATATATACTTGACTGTAAACTGCTAGAAAACAGGGATTTTATTTTGTCTCATCTAAATTGTATTTTTCCCAGTGACAAGTACAGGGTTCTTCATGTAGTAGGCACTTAATATGTGCTTTTTGTACTGGTCTGTACTGGATGGAAAGGATTTGTCACCTCCATAGACTCAGGAGGAGTGTAATGAGCTGCCTGGAAACATAGCGAGCCCCCATCACTAGTGGCCTTCAAGTGGAAACTACATGAGCACTTGTTGCTGTGTTGTGAAGAGGACGTCTTTTAAGTTAGCAGTTTGGATCAAATGCTTCCTGAGTTTTCTTCCAGCTCTGAAATCCTGTGATTCTATGAGGGGGGTGAAAAGGACTCTTGTCCCTTGGGTAGAGGAGGTCTGTAGTCTCTGTGTGGCCCTGTCAGGGGACTTGGGCCCCTAGTTTTGAAAGAAAGGCCCCCTGCCCTGTTGGTCTCTTGCAGAACCCTCTTTCTTTACTTCCCAGACCCTCGAAGGGGACCAGGCCATCCTGCAGCGAATAAAGAAATCAGTCCGGACGATTCATAGCTCTGGCCTCGGTGAGTGAAGGGGCAGCCGCGCTGGCCGGGGTGGTGGTGGCAGCCAGAAGCCCTCCCTGCTCCTTCCCACCCTCCGGTCCCCAGCTAACTCAGAACAACACCCCCTTCCTAAGACACGACCCAGCTGACAGCTCCCCGACGGACTTCCCTCCCCAGCCCACGTGGAGAATGAGGAACAGTACAGCGAGGCCCTGGAGACCTTTGGCAACAGCCACCTCTCCCAGAACAACCATGAGCTATCCACAGGCTTCCTGAACCTGGCTGTGTTCACCCGGGAGATGGCTGCCCTCTTCAAAAACCTGGTAAGGACGGAGAAGATGGACTGGCTTGCCGCCCCTCCCCCTTCCTCCCCTCAGGACCGCACGGTCTAGCTGAGCTAGAGGACAGCGTTACTGCTCAAAGAATGTGGAGCTTCAAGGTCCCGTGTCACCTAGGTGGCACGGTGGAGTCAAAAAGACCCGAGTTCAAATCCTTCCTCACGTGCTCTCTAACTTCGACCCTGAACACGTCACAGGATCATAGGTTTAGAGTTGGAAGGGTCCTTAGATAACATAGTCCAGTCCTTTTACAGAGAAGGAAATTGAGGCTCAGACTAGCTATGTGACCCCACGCAAGTCCCTTGTGAAGATAAGAGACTTACCTAGGGTCACGTAGCTAGTAAGTGTTTCAGAAGAGATTTGAACCCAGGACTTCCTCTCTCAGTCTTAGTTTCCTCACCTGTACAAAGAGGATAGTTCTATCACCTGGGTTGTTGTGAGGCTCAAGACGAATCTCATATATATATAGTGTTTGGCAAACCTCAGTGCACCGTGTAAATGGTGTATGTGTAATATACATGTATTTGTATGTATGTACGCACAAGTGTATATAAACACCATTATTGTTATTGGAACAAGCCTTTCCTTTTACAGATGAGGAAACTGAGGCCCAGAGCAGTAAGTAGCAGAGCTGGGATTAGAACCCAGGCCCCCTGATCATTACAGCCCAAGAAGTTTATAAAGTCCTTTTCATACCGTGACCCCGTGAGGAGTGTAGTGAAAGTCTCATGACAATTGAGGAAGTTGAGGCCTAGAGAGAGGAAATGTTTCAACCACGAATCTGGCAAGTGTTAGCCGTAAGATTAGAACGTGGCCTTCCTTTTCTGCACACGGGACATTGCCCGATGACGTGAGGATCGTTGTACGGTCTGATGATGAGGAAACGGGGAGAGCACTGAGGGTGCGGGTGGCCTGGGAAGGCTTTGCAGAGGGCTCCTACTTTGACTTGGCTCTTGAAAGATGACTGGGAAGGGGGACATCCAGGCTGGGGAACTATGTGCGCTAAAATGTGAAGGCAGGTAGGAGGCCTGCTGCCTGGAGGTGGAGGCACCTGGGTGGAGTGGAAAGGGCCTTCTTGCCCAAAGACCCAGCTCCAAGCTTAGCTCTGCCACGTTACGCATATGTGTCCCAGAAAAAGTCATGGTCACTCTCTGGGCCTCAGCTTTCCTATCTATAAAGTGGGGGCTGGGCTAGACAATTCAATTTGGTTCAGTTCATTCAGCAAGCAATTTTATCAGCTACCTAATGTGCCAATACACTTTGCTAAGTGGTAGAAATACAAAGAGAAAAATGAAACAGTGCTTGCCCTCAAGAAGCTTATATTCTATCAAGTGAGATGATATATACACAGATAAGTATATGCAAAGTAAATACAAGGTAGTAGCTCCGTCTCTGTTTCTTTCAGGTGCAGAACCTGAATAACATTGTGTCTTTCCCCCTGGACAGCCTGCTGAAGGGGCAGCTGAGGGATGGCCGACAGGTGAGGTTTTTGTGGGGTAAAAAGAGGTACGTGAGTCTTTGCAGCTGGTTGGGCTCTCCTCAGGTTCAGGGGCAAGGGCTCCCAGAGAGAGGTCACCGGGGCGCCTCAAATCCCTCAAATCACCTCCTAGGAAAAGTGTAGGGGAAATTTTAAGACCTATCTGAGGTAGGTTTAGGCCTTGAAAGACATACTCAACTCCATTAAGTACAATGAGAAAGTAACTTTCAGAGGAACTCTTTTCCCACTCTGATGGAGTAAAAATGCTACAGGGAGAGACCAGGAGGGAATGGGCAGCTGAGGGCTATCCCGTCACAAAGAAATCCCCACTGATTTTTCTGGTTGTTGGTGTGTTTGTCTTTCGTTCTCGAAGAGGGTCATGACATCAGGGAGATGATGACATGACTTACAGTTGACTTTGGTTTGAGTGAGGGAGGGTTGTGCCAGGTCACCAGCCTCACTTTCTCCTCCAGAGCCATCTGGGTCCAGTGGCCAGATACTCATCAGGA